CCGCAATTCCTTAAACACGTGTTCAAAGAGCCGTAGAGGACCATGACCCCCCCCTCCCCCCTCCCTCCCCCTACTCCGCGGAACGTCTTACATCAGAGGCGTGAGTGTTCTTCCTCCGAGGCGGACAACCAGCCAAGCAAAGCGCGACCTCCCCTCTCTTTCTTCCCCGTCTCCTCGTCACTCCCCGGCCCTGGCGCGTCAAGCCCGCGCTCTCGTCTGGCGGATTTTTGACTCTTCTTGCCGCGCTACGCGTCTAATTTCTAGATTCGGCTTTCGTTCCCATCTTTCTGTTTCACTTTAAACTGGAATTCTTCTGTTTTCTCAAGTCAGAGCAGCGTTGTTCCGAGAATGGCATTAATTCTTCCACAGTTTTATTTGTTTTCCCGTCTATGTCTCTGTGTGTCTGTGTCTGTCTGTCTGTCTGTCTGTCTGTCTGTCTGTCTGTCTGTCTGTCTGTCTGTCTGTCTGTCTCTCTCTTCTCTCTCTCTCTCTCTCTCTCTCTCTCTCTCTCTCTCTCTCTCTCTCTCTCTGCTCCCATCCGTTCGCCTGCATCAAACGTCCCTCTCTCTACTGTTCCTTTTCTCCCCTCCCTTCCCATCTCCCTCCCTCATATACACACACCTCACCTTTTCCCTATCCCCTCTCTCGACGCGACCTTCGCACCCCCTCTCCCTTACTCCTCCGTTTCCAGTTCCACCGCTAATCCTGGAATCACTTCCTCCCCCCTTCTTCCTTAATGCCGACCCCCAAACTCATCCCTTGTGTGTCGAGTCATCCCCACTTCAACAACAACCATCCCGAATGCCAAACCGACTCCCGACTAACCAATCCCGAGTCCATATTCTCAGCAAGACCTTGATCCCGACGTCATACTCATGCCCTTCCTTACCCCCCCATCTCCGTCAGCCCCACTAGCCCTCCCACCCACCCCCTCGCCCAACCTTTCCCGACACAGGTCGACTTTCTTCTCTTTTGACCTCCGCCTCGGAATATACGAAGGCCTGTGAGGCAATGCGGGAAAGAGGGAGAGGGTGAGGAAGCAGGATTCAGGATTCAGGTGATGGTGATGGTGAAGTGAAGGTGAAGATGACGACGGTGGTGTTGGCTGTGGCGATAGTGGCGAGCTGGGGAGAGGAGGGGAGGAGGAGGAGGAGGAGGAGGAGGAGGAGGAGGAGGAGGAGGAGGAGGAGGAGAGGAGGAGAAGAGAAGAAGAAGAAGAAGAGAAGAAGGAGAAGGAGAAGGAGAAGGAGAGGAGAAGGAGAAGGAGAAGAAGAAGAAGAGAAGAAGAAGAAGAAGAAGAAGAAGAAGAAGAAGAAGAAGAAGAAGAAAGAAGAGGAGGAGGAGCGCTGAATAAAGGAACAAAAATAGAACGGTTTGCGATAACGACGACGTGATGGAGGGACCGGCAGCGAGGGCGACACATTATTGGTCAATTCCTCGCGGGAGGCCAATAACTGACCAACATATCCCACGGTCTGCCTTCCCCACCTTTTCCGCTTGACTTCCGACGCGGGCGCGCAGTGAGGCAACTGCCATTACTAATGTTTCTTATTAATATCTAAATCTTAACTCCTGACATTCTCATTTCCTTTATTCTGTTCCTCCTCTTCCCGCTCTGTATAATTTTCCTTTAAGAAGTTCGACAAATTCAAACATATTAAGCACGACTTCTGACTGATTTTTGAAATAATCATCGTTTTGATGATGAACGGAAAATATCAATTTGGTATTTCTTCAGCTCGCTTACTCCCCACTACCTTCTACACATCTCTCCGATAATATCTTCTCTCCTGTTTTCAATAATATAAGAAGAAAGGTGTAAGCTCTATACGGCTCTCGATATTTATCCAGACTATTCTATATCCGTCAGCCTTATAATGCTTTTCACTCACTAGACCTGTCCTCTACAAATCTTCAACTGCTCTAATCTCACTCACAAAGTTGTCCTCATTTCTGCTTACTTTCCTCCCTCACTGCCTTATTTTCTTCTTACTCTATCGACTTTTACAACACACAGGTACAATCACTTCGTCTCATCCATTAACCTTCTCCTATCTTAATAGTATATATATCTCCTAGATATCCTCATTACTATTCTCTACTTTCAATATGACTCTATACTTGCTCTCATATCTATTAACTATAATTTATAATTACTATTTTTCATACATACATCTACCCTCATTGATAGTGATCATCTAAAGCTCGTCCACTATATATTCTTCATCTCGTCTCTCATCTCTTCAATCATATCATCTTCATTTTAATATGATATAATTTATACTTATATTCTCTTTCAGTACTCTCTCTACTCTCTCATAGTATCATTATCGTATTTCATATCTCTTCATACATCTACACGCCTCTTCAATAATTTTATACTCATTTTAGCCGTTTTATTATATATTATTTTAGTTTTATCAGTCAGTCTATGACTATTACGTACTCTTGACCTATCACTTATTATGTATATACTCCCTCTACCTGCCCTCCCTTATCC